TCTTTCTTTCTTTCTTTCTTTCTTTCTTTCTTTCTTTCTTTCTTTCTTTTCTTGGTGTTTTGGGGCTACTGGTGATTTAACTCAGGGGCACTCAACCACTGAGCCACATCCCCAGCCCTATTTTGTATTTTATTTAGACACAGGATCTCACTGAGTTGCTTAGTGCATCTGTTTTGCTAAGGCTTGCTTTGAACTTGCGATCCCCCTGCCTCAGGCTCCTGAGCCACTGGGATCACAGGTGTATGTTGCTGCGCCTGGCTCTGTATATAGCGTTTTCTATGGAACATTGTGTTGTAATAGAAGGTCCCCTGCTAAAAAAGGAAGGAAGAAGAAAAGGGGCTGTAAAACACTGGGCTAGTTAATGCCTAAGACCCCTGCCTACCCCTAAATTTAAAACAAGTCTAGAAAAGAAGTGTATCTTGTATTGTTAATTCTTAATTCTTAGAACTAGGTGTAAGAAGACCCTGAAGTAGAGGACAAGAAAGTCAGGTGTAGGCCATTGGCTAAAGCTGCCGCGCTGTGAAGACCAGTCCTTTCAGTGCTCTGAGATGTGGGTGGGGGCTGGTCACATTCTGCAGCCAGTGGCAGTGATCGAAAATCTCCAGGGAATGTGGGTTACATCGTAACAGGGGCACAGGCCAGATGCTGCTGCCCTTCCATCTCGCTAGGCGCCCATAGTCTACATACACATTTCTGAATGAATATGCATTTTTAATGTTTTAAATGAAATGTGCACAGCTATGGCATATTTTTGTGTGTAAAAGATACTAAATGAGTTACAGAGCTGATATGAAACTTGCACATTTAAAGCAACCCTCTCGGGCTGTATTCATGCATATATGTTCTGTGCTGTGCAGCTTTTCCTTCAGGGATTAACTGCTGGCAGTTAGCTTTGTGGTTAAATCACGGTTTCTATCTTGGAGAATGGGGTGAAAAATCACCAACAGATTATCTGTCTCTATTGCAACTACGGGTAATTGTCATTTTATTTTGTGTACTACTCTTTATAATTTAGTTGTTTTACTTGAGTATTTTGCTTTTGTAAAGAAACTTTAGTTTGTGAGAAAACTGTGTAATTTTTGAAAATTTAGCTTTATATCTTTGGGCTTCACAATTTTGTGGGGGTGGATGCTGCAGGTGTTTTTTTCCCCTTCCAGAGACTTTTATTTGATATTTGTAATGGTAAAAATCCATTTATTTCCTGTCAAGAAACCTCCCAGCAAAACCTGCTGAAGAAGCCCAGAAGCACAGGCAGCAGTATGAAGAAATGGTGGTACAGGCCAAGAAGCGAGGTACCGTGAAGCCACAGGCACCAGATTCTGTGTCTTCCTGAGTATTTTCTTTCTGTCTTTTGGACCTCAAGAACTTGAACTTTGCTGAGTGCTTTAGTATTCTGAAATTGTAGTTTTCCATAAAGTAATCTAGGCTTCTTCTAGTCATTCCTGGTAGCTTTATTTAACACTTAACAAGAAGAGATTGAATGATGAGAATTCCTCATTAGAAAGCTTCATCCAATGATGATGTAAAGATATCTGTTTTCGGGCTGGGGTTGTGGCTCAGTGGCAGAGTGCTTGCCTCGCACATGTGATGCACTGGGTTCAATCCTCAGCACCACATAAAAATGAATAAACAAAATAAAGATATTTAAAAAAAAAAAGACATCTGTTTTCTTTATTTACAAGAAGATGTGATTGGATTTGACAAAATTTCTTGTAATTCCTGAAAAACTATGATTCCAGGTTATTTCTTTTTTAATTGTAGATGGACACAGTACCTTTATTTTATTTATTTTTTTATATGGTGCTGAGGATCGAATCCAGTCCCTCACACATGTTAGATGAGAGTCCACCACTGAACCACAACCCCAGCCCCAATTCCAAGATATTTTAAAAGTATATATATTAGGCCTAGGGATATTGCTTGGTGGTAGAGCACTTGCCTAGCATGTACATGGCTCTGGGTTTGATCCCCAATACTACCAAAAAAAAAAAAAGTTCCTATAATAAATTGTGGTATATCTATACATTGGAATATTATGTAACCTTAAAAACAAAAATTCTCACACATTTCAACCTAGAAGAACCTTGAGAACATTATCCTAAGTGAAATGAAATGAGTCATTCGCAAAAGGACAGTTCATGGTTCCACTTATGAGATCCCTAGAGTTGTTAGATTTTTAGAGACAGAGTAGGATAGTGATTGCTGGGGCCTGAAGAGAGGGGCTGGGGAAAAGGGAACATGCAGATGTGGATGACAGTGATGGTTGCTCAGCTGTATGCATGTGCTTAATGCTACTGAGCTGTACATCAAAATGGCTGAAATAAATTTTATGTGACATATATTTTGCCATGATAAAATACAGTTGTCCCTGGGTATCCATGAGGAATGGGTTGCAGGATCCCCAGCAGATACACCAGAATCAGCAGATGCTCAAGTCTCACATGTAAAATCTGTGTGTAACTTATGCACATCCTCCTGTATACTATGAATCATGTGTGGGTTACTTAATAAAATGTAAATTCTCCATAAATAGTTATTACACTATATTGTTACGGAATAATGACAAGGAAAATGACTGTACATATTTGATATAGACATGACTTTTTTCCCTCCAGTGTTTTCTATTGCTGATGGGGTCAATCAGCAGATGTAGATCCCATGGGTGTGGAGATTGCTATTGGGTATAGATAAACTTAAGTGCAGGATCTTTCTCAGAGTTGCTATGTACATGCTAGTAACTGAGTGATGCTTCGACTTTTAGAAGTGATCCTAGAGATCACTTTTGGAAGAGGTGTGGAGGGAGCACAGCAGGGTGAGTTCTGGGAATGTTTACTGCTCCGATGGATGCTTCAAGGGTTTATCTGTTCTGTCTGAGTTGGATTTGTGTTTGTGCACTCTTCTGTATGCATGTTGCACTTTAACAGCTTACTAAAGCAGGATGGTGCTAAGCATCCCGGGTCCTTGGGGTGTAAAATGAGCCCTGGGAGCACAGGCTTGCTCTAATGCAGTGGCCTTCTCCTGATTTTCTTGCATCATGACTCGTTGAGAAAAATCACCCAGCTTGAACATGGTGTGGGTCAAATAATAGATGTTCTCTTCCTGTTTTTAATTGTGATTTCTAGAGCTTAAGGAAGCCCAACGGAGGAAAAAGCAGCTGGAGGAAAGATGCAAAGTAGAAGAAAGCATTGGAAACGCCGTCCTCACCTGGAATAACGAGATCTTGCCCAACTGGGAAACCATGTAAGCTTTGATTGTGTGGGTGCTGCTGTGTTGCAAACAGTTTCTCCCTCTAGCTGGCAGGTAGCAGCTGTGGTTACTGAGCTCATAGCACAGCCTTGGGTAGATTAGCCTCAGTTGCCATGGTCCAGCCCTGGGCTTCCTTGTCCTGATGCTGTGACAGCCCCTTCCAGCTTACCTGGGTACTCAGCCTACCTCTGTGCCCTCTCTCCTTAACATTTCAGTAACTTCCTCTGATGCACAATTTCATATTTGAACTCTGTAGTTTAGCTGACAGGACCCTCTGCCTTTGTGTCTCACCCTCTTCTTTGCTTTAGTTGGGCCTGTCTCTGTACCTATGGGGTCACTTGATGCTTTTTGGTCTCCGAACATTTATAGGTTCATTTGTGTGTTCTGGACCTCCTGTCCTGCTAATTGCTGTTTGTTCTCTAAAGCTCAGTCTTCCCTAGGAAAGGCTCTCCTTTCCTTACCACAGATCCAGGTGTCTGTGGAAGATTCCCCGGGTGCCCTGCTTCTTCTCTGAGGGTAGAGAGCAGGTTGTCTTTGATGTTGACCAACAGTTAGCCCAAAGTACACACCCAGCAGAGATAGCAGCTGTGACATCCTTTTGGAAGGTCATCTGTACATCTTGTTTCTTCCTGTGTGGTCGGTCTGGGCTGGGGCCCTTAGGGGCAGTCATGGCAGGGCCATACAGAGGCCATTGGGGAGCTTAGAGACCAGCTTGCCTCTGCTCATGATTTGCATGTTGTGATGCTAGAGGCTCATTCTGAGTGTCACTTTCCCTATAGGAGCCAGAGGCTGGGTTGAGGGGCGACATTAGGAGAAGATGTTGTTCTCAGAATTTGTTTTTCTAGGTGTTGGCCCTCAAAGACTCAATGCTGCTAAGAATGCTGAATGCTCTTTCTTAGATCGGGCCCAGTGCCAAGGGCAGAGATTCTCTTCTCAGACACTTGTTGTCTGCTTGCATGGTGACCAAGCCTGCCCTGGGCTGTCCTGCCTTGGCCCTAATCCAGAGGACATACCTCCCCTAAAGGAGTGCAGTGAGGATTAAGTGGATAAAGTACAAAGTGCCCAGCACAGTGACTGACACAGCCAGTGAGCATCTGGACCACCTCCAACACAGGGCAAATGCTCACCGGCTGTGTCGGGCACTGTGCTGGGTGCTTGGTACTTTATCCACTTACTTCTCGCTGCAGTCCTCCGGGGGAGGTCTGTCCTCTGGATTTTAGAAAGCAGAACTAAGTGTCTCTGGATCCACAAGGCAGGGTAGAGTTAGGATGCAGCCTTGCTTCTGTAGCCTCCGAGCTAGAGCTGCCTGGCAGTGCTGCATTCAGAATCACCATGGAGTCTGGCGCCTTTCCACTTGTCTGGTCTTTGGCAATACATGTTCATCAAGACCAGTGGACCTGAACAACTGCACCGTTCAGAATGTTCTGGGTAGCAAGTCACCCTGTTGTCAGGGTTTGGTGGCTTGCCCTGTAAGGCCCTGGCCCTGCCCCCTGCCTCCCACCCTCCAGCTCTCAGCAGGGCGGTTACACTTTGTCCCCAGGCTCAGCTGCATGTGGTCCTGCAAGAGGCCAGGTTATTTTTTGTGTCTGTTTTCTGCTCAGAAAGTTCTTCTCATCCTTCATGGGCATAATCTGCTCCTGGTCATTTGAAATTGGTTGGAAGGTGCATGGTCCTCTGTGGTGCTTCCTGCTGTGCCCTGTCTCAGCGGGTGTCCCACGGAAGGTGGCCTGAGGCTCCCCGAGAACGGAGTGCCACTCTTAACTGCTGGTGGTATGTGGCGGGGCACACACCACACACTAGGCTTTCACCTTGAAGCACACGCTCAGGAACTCATGTTCTGTCCTGTGCAGGTGGTGCTCTAGGAAAGTTCGAGATCTGTGGTGGCAGGGAATCCCTCCGAGCGTGAGGGGCAAAGTCTGGAGCTTAGCCATCGGCAACGAGTTGAACATCACCCACGGTGAGTGCTTGCCTGGGAGTCTCCCCTGGGCTCCTCGGTTGAGCTGGGCTTTTGTTAGGGCCTCTTCCATCCCTTCACCCTGATGGGAAGGATGCAAATGCTGCCGAGGAGCTGCGGCTCTGAGAGGTGGGATGATTCTCCTCTGGGAGGGTCTGTTGCCAGGCTGGGCTTCAGGTCCCTAAGTTCAGGGCAGATTCTCTAAAATGGAGGGCTTAGAGCTCAGGGCCTCTCAGGTGCAGTGGGATCACTTGTCAGGGTCCTATGGAAGGCAGATCTCCATCAGACACGAACGTGGAGGTGTGTGGATTGTACTAGGGGTACCTGTTGATGTTCTGTGGGATTTTCTTTTTTTTTTTTCCCCCTCAGGCAACCTTAAAGGTATAAAATTTTGTGCTAAGAGTGTAAGTGGTCAGTGTCAAGGAAGTGAGACTCTCACATCAGTGTCCTTGTGCTGTTTGTCATCCTGTGTCACCTGCTCAGACTGCATGTTTCTGCCCACCAGGCAGGCTCACTTTTTAGTCACTGTGTCAAATGCTCAGCAGGCTCTGTCTGTCCAGAGGAAGCAGGCCTCAGGAGCTGCTGGACTGAACATGTGGCCTTCCTGCAGGGAGTGGCTCCTTGCTCCTCTCCTTTGCAGTCTGAGGTCTGAGCTGTGGAAGGAAAGCAGGCTCTCCTGCTCGTCCCTGTGAGGCCCGCAGCTGCCTGTGAAGTCGAGGGCAGCAGGCTTACTCTGGTAGAACGCTCAGAGTTCCAGGCAGATGGGTGGGTGCCTTTCCTCTCCAGTCGGGCTGTTAGCCTCATCATGTCAGCTTTGGTCTTTCACACAGCCTCAGCCTTATTCTAAGAACTGTGTCCACTGTGAGCTGCACAACAGATCAGTTGGATTGTGACTCCCCTCCTGAAGAGGGCCTGCTTTCCTTCCACAGCTAAATCCATGTCTGCCAAATTTTTTTTTTTTTTAAAGAGAGAGTGAGAGAGGAGAGAGAGATAGAGAATGAGAGAGAATTTTTAATGTTTTTTATTGTTTAGTTCTCGGCAGACACAACATCTTTGTTGGTATGTGGTGCTGAGGATCGAACCCGGGCCGCACGCATGCCAGGCGAGCGCGCTACCGCTTGAGCCACATCCCCAGCCCCCAAAATTTTGTTTGTAAGATATTTGCCTGAGAAGATGTACAGCATTTTACTTGTGGAAATGGTTTTTGAGAAATATCCTCAGAAGGTGAGGTTTGGATAAGTTTCTGAGCATTTGTTTCAGTCTGTATTGTTGAAAATTTTTAACTTCTATCAACATTCCTATCTTTGCAAATTGGATATAGTGTGCCGTACTTTGTGCCTCTGTGTGTGCGGTTTTTGGTTCTCTCTGATGCCTGGGTGGGTTTTGTTTAAATTGAAACCTTCTGTGGACAGAATCATGGTGGGTGGCTTTAGCAGCTGCTCCACCATCACTTGGGTATAGATGTCCCTTTGGCCCTGATGCTGGCTTGCATTTTGTCAGCTATGACTCTTTCACATGACGGGCTTTTTCAGGGTGCTTGCCCCCATTGGAACAGGTTCAGTACACTGGGGCCCCACTACAACTCCCTGCTCCATCACTGTGTCCAGCCCAGTTCTCTGCAGGCCCTGAAATGTCTGTTAGGTAAGTGGGTGCAGCTCCTGGAATCCTGCTTGATCTCACCCTGTTGCATCTTTAGGCCAGTGTAAGAATGATCCTGGGTTGTTGAATGCCAGGCACCCCCTTAGGCTTAGTGAAGACTTAGGAGTCTGTAGCATTGACAGTGATCCTGTTGAGGCAGGTATTGGTGACCTTGTCTTCCTTTTGACAAGGATCATCCTGAAATGGCCAGGCACTATGCTCCAGCCCTGTAGCCTATGTGTGTGAGCAGGATTCTCATTCTAGCACTGGTTGTTTCAGATGCCCATGTTATGACTTGGGAAGCTCCAGTTTGGCTCTTTTTGTGGCTGTACATTTGGAAACTTATAGTTGGAAAGTTGACCTAATAGTACTATTAAAACTTCACACTAAGGGAATTTGACTTTAAAACTGGGGATGGGGAGTCTGGGTAGAAGGTGTAGAGTCTAACCCCTGCCCCCCAGTACATGCCAGGAAAATCATGGAAGAGATTTTGTAACACTGACACTTTGACCCCTTTTACCTTGAGGACACAGCCACAGCCTCTGTACCTTAATTGTCAAATTCCTCATATGGGAAGTGATTCCCAGGTGATCACAAGCCACACAGTTGTTTTCACCCCTACTGCCAAATGACAGCAGTGTAGCCAAACACCTGGGGGCTGAGAGCAGGCAGAAGTGCCCTGTAGGTGCTCTAGCCACCAGCTCAGGACACTGCCAGGTTTGTCCTGTAAACACTTGCCCTTCTGGATAAGGATGGCAGGAAATTGTGTTACATGACTGTGCCCTCCCGCCATGGCAGACAGCATAGATTTTGTTAGAGCCTTCACAAGGCTTGATTAGGGTCGTTCATCAAGATTTTACTTGTTGGATTATAATAGTGTTACTAGAATTAACATTTCATTTAATGAAATAGCACATGCTGCTCAGAAGGCAATTGTGCCCTGTTTATTTTTCAAAAGTAATGGTGGAAAAATATAAAGTGATAAAAAGTCTGTGGGTAGCTTCATTTAAAGTCCCAGTGACAGACTAGTGACCCAGAACATCAGGGAGCTGGGAAACATCAAAGTCAGAGGCACAGGAAGTGCCTGGGGTGGGACAGATGTGGAGCTGGCCCTGAGGAGCACAGTCCTCTAAGGATACCTGGGGTTCGGATATACCCAGGGCTGTCTGTACCTGCCAGTGAGATTTGTGAGCATGAGATGTGATCTAACTATCACCAAACTTTCCAAGAGAAGAGTTGTTGAAAGATGGGTTCTAAATATGGAAGAGACTTGGAGACTGATGACACTTGTCTGACAGCAAGAGTTCTTGTTCTTTGAAAGCTCTGCCTGTTCCTGGGCACCTGCTCCCACCCCCGGCTCTACTTCTTGCAGCAGAATGGCAAGCTGGGCTATGTGGGTAGCAATTCCACTACGTCTTTATGTGAAAACAGTGTCCATCCTCATCCCCCAGATCACAGTCCTAGTGAGTTAAATTTCCAAAGGTTGAAATCCTGAAAATGGAAATTCCAAAAGTTGCATTTTTCCATGGGGGAAAAAAAAGGCTATATAAGGGGGGTAGAAACCTGAATTCTGGTGAAGGGATTTATCATACATGATGGCAAGAACTAAAGCTGCAGTTGAAAAAGGTGTCATTGGCACTCCTTCCCGTGAACAAAATTCCAAGAGCTTTTAATGAATTAAAGCTACACTTTCTGCAGAAGCCAAGAAGGTTACTGATTGGTTTGAAATAATCATGTGCTTGGTGGGACAAGAAAACACACAGCAGTGTTGCTCTTTGACCACCTGTACTGATTGGGTCTGTATTTGAGGATGAGTAGAATGCACGTCTGAATATACGGAGCAGCGTATAAGCATAGTCCAGAAGATGAGAAAATCAAATAGGGGTGCTCGTATCAGTGTGTACCTAGTCAGAAGCCACATGGAAGTGTATGTGGACTCACTCTGCCGGAGCGCCACACCTGCTGTTGACCACCATGCAGGATCAGAACAGTGCGGAGCGGAGGCCACCTCCATGCACTGCCTGTGGTCTATCCCTGGTTATGCTTTGTCATGTGCCAAATTGTCTTTTTAGTTTTTTACTCTCTTTTAGAAGTTTTTTTCCCCACTTTTTAAAATTTTCAGCATTATTTTTTACAATTGGCAGTGCTGTGTATTTTAGTTACACATTATTTCCAAAACTGAAGATATAAATTGTGTAAAGACTTTTGGAGAGTTTTAGTTTGTCTTACGTCTTTTTTACAAATTTAAGACTCCATGAAAGTGCATTATCACAGCATGTAGGGTGGAAGCCTGACGAGTGTGTGAGAATGTTGAAACTCAGGAGTGATCTGTGACAGACGACGGTTTCTTGGGGTCTTGGCTTGTGGGTGACTATGTACACAGTGGTGACCCTCAGTGAATTTTAATTGATCTGGTCAAGAGTCGGATGGTCTGACAGTATCCCAGAGGAGCACAGCCATCAAGCTGGGTGTGTGTGTGGTAGTCACAGTGCAGTACTTCTGCTCTCAGCAGCTGGTTTCCTTATGAACATAGATCATTCATTTGTCATTCATCTCTACTCACCCAACTGTCTGCAGTATTCCTGAGTGTTTTGCTCTCAAAAATGTTATTATTGCCTATTTTATTGTCTAAAATGACCTATGAAGTGTTCTGTTATGTTTTTATGTTTTTGAATAAGTTCCCCTTTTAAAAATGTAAATAAATTTCTTTTAAGGAATTTTTAAATTTGTTTTTCCTAGGATCCTGTTTTCAGGAGTTTAGACATTAAAGATTTTCATCTTTGGGGATTTGAGCATTCAGGATTATGGCATTTGGTATTGTTTTTCCTTTCGGTATTATGGCTCAAACCCCTTTGAAGCCAGGCATGCTTTCATTTCGCTCCAGCCCCTCCCCCAGCCAGCTGTTGGGTTTTCACCCTCTGTGGCTCCTAGCACCTCTTGGTCTGTAGACAGAGGTGAGTGAGAGGCTGACACAGTCTCGTGAGGATGTTAGACCAGTCACAGTGGATGGGAGCAAATAGTTGTGGGTGGCTGTGTGACAGGAGACACACACAGGCATGGCAGTGCTGTGTCCCTACAGTGCATGTGCCCATGTCTTTAAACAGGAGAGTGCTTCCAGGCCAAGGTGGGGGTTGTCTGTGAAGGAGACAGTTGTGTGTTCTTGGGTGTTTCAAGGAAGATGTGCATGTGAGACTCACCCAGAGGCTTTTCTTCCAGAGCTCTTTGACATCTGTCTTGCCCGGGCCAAGGAGCGGTGGCGGTCTCTCAGCTCGGGAGGCTCAGACGTGGAGAGTGAAGGTACAGACCATTCTGAAGCCTGAGCGATGCGCGGTCAATCACGGATGCCTCTCCCTTTACAAAACAGAGCTGGCTTGACTGCAGTAGGCTTCATGTGGATGTGTGTTCAGCTCTAGGGGAAAGGGGGCTTTTAAAGCAAAAATGGAAGGTAAATAACTGTAAGAAATAGTGCCCCAGTTCCTGAGAGGTGTTTTCACCCCACCATAGGAGGGCTGCTCACAGTGCACTGTTTCCCTGGAGGTTGCTCTTCGGACTTCAGGCTGTGCCCAGATCACCTGAGCATTAGCTTAGCATGGAGCTTGGGTCAGCTTCCCGAGAGCAGGAACTCTGCACTCAGGCTGAACTGTGCCTTTATAAGTGTTCACAGCACACCAGAGTGACCACTTTATTGGCTAAGAAGCATGTTTTTAAGTGGCCTTTAAAACTATTGTCTGTGTGGCAATTGAATTCAAAAAAGAATAAAACAAATTATTCATGAAAAGTTGTGAGAATATTACACAAGTGTCTTACACGTGAGTGTATGCTATAGTAGCTCCCTCAATTCTCTGCATTTAAATTTTTTTATTTTAACTTGTTTTTTAAATGTACTTGCCATGTAATGTTTTAAAGTGTATGCACGCATGGATTCACTCAGTTTAGCTGATTACCATGCCTCTGGTGATCTTAGGGTTCCAGGCAGGAATAGTTTCCATCACAGTCAAGCTCTTCAAGACAGTATTGAGGGTTGGGATTAAATGGCTCAGTGATAGATTGCTTGTCTAGCATGTATGAGGCCCTGGGTTCAATCCCCAGCACAGCAAAAAAAACAGACAAAAGACAGTATGGAATCAATTATGTCACCTTGTTGTTAGTAGCTTTCTGGAACTTATTCATCCCATCTAACCAAAATTCTGTATCCTTTGGCTGGTATCTCCTCAGTACCCCCTGGACTCTGGCAGTCACTGTTCTGGCCTCTGGCAGTCACCATTCTTTCCTCTGCTTCTATGATGTTTAACTAATTCATAGAAGCAGAGGACAGAATGGTGGCTTTTACTTTATTTCTTTATTAGCTTCATGTCTCCCTGTCCTTCAACAGGTTTATCCTTATTGTTGAAAATGGCAGAATTTCCCTTTCTTTTTCTGGCTGAATAGTATTTTTTTTTTTTTTTTTAACCAGGGATTGAATCCAGGGGCACTTAACCAGTGAGCCACATCCTCAGCCCTCTTTTATATTTTATTTAGAGACAGGGTCTTACTGAATTGCTTTAGGACCTTGATAAGTTGCTAAGGCTGGCTTTGAACTCATGATCCTCCTGCCTCAGCCTCGTGAGCCACTGGGATTAGAAGCATGCATCACCGTGCCTGGCAACACATTTTCTTAATCTCTTCATCCACCAGTGGACAGTAGGCTGTTTCCACTCCTTGGCTGTTGTGAACAGTGCTGCAGTGAGAACCGAGTGCAGGTGGTCTTTGACTGATCTCATCTCCTTTGGAGATAAATACCTTGTAGTAGGATGGCTGGATTCTATGTAGTTTCATTTTTAATTTTTGAGGCCACATCTGTACCAATGATGTTTGAGATCAGCTAATGACTTTTGCTGTGGTTTCTGTGCCTGGAGGTCTTTGTGTTGGATTCTGCTACTTGTCCTATTTCCCCCTGGTAGTTGTAATTTAGTTAAATTAGATGTTGATTTCAGGTTCTAGAAAATAATCTGATACTGCTGTGACCTTGGTTGGGGCCATGGGTGTTCTGTTCCCTAAATCGAGGAACTCCACACCCACCCCACCTCCTGCGGTGGGCTTCCCAGAGCTTCCTCTTGCAGGACTGCAGCACCTCATATCACCCCAACCTCTAAGGAGTGCAATGACTCTGGATCTTTTGACAGATGCTGGGTTTTCAGCCGCTGACAAAGAGGCCAGTCTGGAGCTTATTAAACTGGACATTTCTAGAACGTTTCCTAATCTCTGCATTTTCCAGCAAGTAAGTCATAGTGATTTGTTGCAAGTGTGTTTTGTCTAAAATTCATAAATGCCAAGCTGCATGAATTTGTAATCAAATTTGAAAGTTAGGGGTTTTGGGGGATAGGGTAGGTACTTCTGTTAAAACATTTAGACATTTTAAATAAATGTAACTGATCAATTCCAACAAGTATGACTACATCAGCACTTGTGTTTTAATGGCGAGACCTTCCTCATGATATGAATGCGTCACAGCCTCTGGATGGCACAGAAGGGCCACAGGCAGTTGTCAGTGCTTTCCTTAAGAGTGCACATACCAGCCTGTGCTCAGCAGGTTGCCGATGTGTGACCCGAGAGTCCAGTGCAGCCATCTGGGGACGGGAGGACAAAGGGAGACGCTTTTGTCCTTGGTGGCACCCTGGGAGCCTTGGTGTAGCCTGGCAGGGGGCTGAGCAGAGGTGTGGGGCATCTGAGCAGGTGGGCCAGGAGGATGGGACCCCCTCTGGAACAGAAGCCAGCTGCTAGAGACAGGCTGTTCTCTCTGGATGGCAGTGGGAGCAGAGTGGTACTTCTTGTGGGCGTGGATTTTGGAGTCCTCTGAGAGGAGTTCTTTAGAGACCCTCTAATCTGTGTGTCGGCAGACATCCCTCTGGGGTCCCTGGGACCTCTCCCTCACCACTGCAGTCATGTTGTCAGTTCTCCTTCCAGGGTCTCTTTGCATCTGTCCCTTCTCCATGCTGACTGCCTTTGCTCACCTCAGGTTCGCCCCTCCTCTCCTCCCACACCTCCTTCCATCCAACTCCCTGCCTTCAGAGCAGCCTTGGATGCTCTAGTCTGACTCCCTTGTGCTCAGGTTCCTGGCACAGTGCCTTATACATAGCTTACCAGTAAATGACGGTGGAATGAGACAGAATAGATTAGTTAAGTGGCTGCAGAATGAGGGCCTGGCAGGAGTGTTGCTGGATCCAGGTCCTTTAAAGGCATAGGGGAGGCACTTCTGCTGGAGATGTCCCAGAGGGCAGGAGAGCATCCCGGCAGAAGCAGGTGTAGGGTGGGAGCTCAGGACAGCCAGGCATTTAGGAAACCCCCCATTCCCTGTAGGAGAGAGAGCTTGCTAAAGAATGTAAAGGACACGTGTCAGTTCTTTCTAGCCTCCTAGCAGTAGCTACTTTGTTCTGAGCTGGGAACCAGATGTGGATGGTGGGCTGGAACTAAGAAGGACTGCTTCAGAGCTTGAGCAGAGAGTGCCATGGCCGAGCTCTGGGATACTGGTCTGTGGCTGAGAAGGACAGGCAGACAGACCCAGGTGCCCAGGCACTGGGGACCAGCCAGTGTGGGTGCAGCACTGAGGACTGCTGGTGCTTGAGTGGGTTGGAAGGGAGGACTGAGGAGGTGTTGACCTCCAGGGGCAGCATGTGGTTGCCATGTCAGAGTGACTTCAAAGCAGGGGTCTCAAGAGCCTGAGTGTGGAGGGTCCTTAGACATGGACATGGCTGCCCAGAGTCTGCTGTCTCCCACCTGTCACCTTCCTGGTGCCTTGTGGGGTACTCTTACTCTCTTGCTTCCTCCCGATTCTAAATCCAGCCAGGAACACTCCCATATGGGTCTTCAGAAATCTTTGCAGAGGGTCTCTCCTCTCTAGAGAGGGAGAGAATCTACAAAGCTACCCAGAGGCCTGGTCTTGGTGTCACGTTCGTGGAACCTGTGAGCGCCCCAGGGTGGCAGGCCTTAACTGGGCCCTGTCTCCATTCTTTCCCCTCCCACCTGACAGTTCTTCTCCTTGCTCTTCTCTACAGCTGTTAGTTCCCTGAGGCCTTGAGTACCCCAGGCTTTGCAGCTCTCCTTAGCTTTCATGAATTGGCCCAGGCTTTTCTTACTCTGGGAGGGCTTTATCCTGCTTGAGTCCCAAGGGCTCCCCGCCCCACACCAGGGTTCTCACACCTCATCCTTCCTTGCATGAAGGCCAAGAAGTATTGCTTTGTAGAAAGGGTTTCAAAGCAAATTTGGGCTTGCATTCCATTGCCTTTTGGCTAGCTTGTGGCCTTGGGGCAAACTGTCCCCTCTGAGCCTCCTCTTGTTCATCTGTAACCTGGGGATGCTCACAGCTACCTAACCAGGCTATTGAAAGTACTTGGCACATAACAGGTACTCCATCAGTGCTCAGTTATTATTTACTATCTTTGACTCCTGCCACCAGCTGAAGAGCCGTTTTCTCCTCAGGCAGCCTAGAAGAGGTGTGGTAGGCCCACTAGGCTAGAGGCCTTGTCTTCCTGATCTTTCCCTGCAGTGTAGGATCAGAGGGAGCTTAGTAACCTTTCTGACTAGTAGAGATAAAAGGAAGGGAGGATCCTGGGAGGACTGTCCTGAGGAGAGGGGAGCAAGAAGAACTCAGATGACAGTCGGGGCAGTGTTTCCTAAAACGGTTCCTAAAGCCTTCCTTGCTGTTGGCAAACTCAGGTTCTGGGATTCACATGTTTGTCTACACATGGTGCCACAGAGCCCTCAGAGCCTGCAAAGACCCTACAGCAGCCCAGGCCCAGTTTCTCAATTCCCTGGCCCCAGGGCCCCCGAGCAGCTCCCTGGGCATACCACCAGGGACTTGACTTCAGAAATGCTGAGCTGGAGAATCCCTGGGTAGCTCTCTGGAGGTGGAGGGTAGACCAAGAAGAAGGGCAGTGGGAGCTGTGGGGTCCCTTTTGAGGGGTTGGGGCAGGTGGTAGAGAGGTTGCCTCTTCTCTCTGGGTTGCTTTGTGCAAGCAAGTCTCCCTCAGCCTGTGGGTCCCAAGGTTCTCGATCTCATGAATAGTTAATGGTTAATAACAAAGGGCAGTGGGGGAACAGATGTCCAAAAGCAAGTTAAGGGCCTTTAGAAGAAGGAGCTGCCACTTGCTGGCACTGGAGCAAGAAGGCAGGAATCATAAGGGTGAACAATGCTTTCCCTTAAGAACATGCAGCTTTCACAATACCTTTCTCCTTCAGCCTGAGACAGACAGACAAAGCCTCCCCATAGTCACTCTTGGTTTTGTGGTGGCCTTGATTCTGTACCTCCCCCAGGCCTGGATGCCATCTTTTGACTCTGTGGTTGTTATTTTTCCTTCTCTCATTCTTCTCATTTGCAAGTGTCTCTTACTTTACTTAGCCTCTTGATGGGTCAGCATGTGATGGGAGGTGCCCAAGGTCACCTGTGGATTGACTTCTGTCACATGCCAGGAGTGTTGCTACTCTTGTGTCAGCCACCAGCACACGGCAGCCACCAGCACATGGTCTGGAGGGGTTTGCATTGGGCCCAGTCAGTCCCTTCATGGTGTCTTCTTGCACACCAGCAGTAGTGTGAAGCGGCTCAGGGCTTTCTTCTTGCTCCATCAGGGGGAAAAAAAAGGGCTACCACTAATGTTTTTAGAAGCAGTTAAGGGAGCAAATGGAAATCTTGAAGTGAATGGAGAGCTGGGAGAGTGACTGAAATAAAGTGGCAGCTGTCAACACCTAAGGCTAGAGCCTTTCCCCAGACCTGTTATTCAGAAAGATGCAAAAGATGCAAGGTGAATGTCATTTGGGGGCAGGGAGGCAGGAAGGACCCTCAGGATGAGGGCATCTAGGGGATAGGATGCTGCAGAGTCACCGTCTGCGTGGCCAGGAGCAGGGCTGCCTGAAGAGCTTCCTGCCCACTCAGGTTGACTTTGAAGGGAATGTGGCATTCAGCAGGAGTAAAGACATTTTACTAAGTGCTCACTCCTGACCCATCAGCCTTTTCAGAGCAGCTTCATGGTTGAGCGGCATACCTCCTTGTTAACTGCGAGTTGGTATTTAGTCTGTTAAACTGCATACTGCATGTAGAGCTGCAGCCTGATGCTTGGCATCTCCTCCTCTGTAAGTAGCAAGTGTCTGGTGGTGGCAGCAGTAGCATCCAGCGCTGTTCTGAGCACTAACAGTACTTATGCATGTGATGTTTTTGGTTGTTGATCCTTCTAGGGTGGCCCGTATCATGACATGTTGCACAGTATTTTGGGCGCTTATACTTGTTACCGACCGGATGTGGGCTATGTAAGTGAAGTTTTTCAGTACTTTATAGTGTTACAATCTATAAAGAAAGTTGAGATTTTATCCAAAATGCCTCAGCTGCCGATGCCAGGTTGAATGCCTTTGTCTTTTATTGAGGAAGATGAAAGGCCTCCTGGCAATGAATTGACTCCATCCCACATAAAGAAGTTGAGCTGACTCGGCTGCTGGGTGGCGTTAATCACACTTGAACTGGGTGTGATTTCCATTTTCTGCATGTGATTTTTTTTTCCTAACATTAATTCAATAAAGCCTCAAGTGGTAACCATTTTTGAAAAGTGTGCTGCCAGCATTTCTGCAGCTTAGCACGAGTGTGTGCATGGTCTTTTGTTAAACATGCTAAATCAGATGTGCCTGTCTGTAGCCCCAGGACAGGGCCCTTACTGAGAACAGTGTTTCAGATGCAAAGGCCTAATGGGGATTGGCTATGGTTTTCCATTTGGAGGGGTGGGGTGCCAATGAAGAGTGGAACAGGTGGCCTTTGGGCTGAGTGGTGGCACTGAGAGGTCAGAGTGGGTGGGGCCAGCAGTTCAGCTTCGGGTGAGCAGTAGTGGGTGGGTGGCTACACGGACCCTTGTGCTGTGAGGACAAGCTGCTGTGAGTTGACACACTTTCTCTCCCTCCCCAGGTTCAGGGCATGTCCTTCATAGCAGCAGTGTTGATCTTGAACCTCGACACTGCAGATGCCTTTATTGCTTTTTCTAATCTCTTGAATAAACCCTGTCAGATGGCGTTTTTCCGAGTGGACCATGGTCTTGTGAGTATGCTCTGTGTACGTGCCCTGGGTGCTGTGTCTATGGAGTTGCCCATAAAGCACTCTGAATTTTCTGGGGGAAAAAGAATGCATTTTTCCTCCACAAAGAGATATTGGTAATAAGGAACACTATGGAGTGGGAGAGTACCTGGGCATGTTTGAGATAAGCATAGAAACAGGAGTTCAGTGGCCATGTGTAAGAGTGGATTAGTGCATTCTGTCTTTAAATGAGGGTGGAGGGTGGCTCCAGTGCAAACATATGTACTTAGTGTGTCAGGAAAACCTATGGCAGTGTCCACCTTGGGTCTGTTCCATACAGTATCTTAGAATTGACCTTTGCTATCAATCACAGTCACGTGGGGCCTCTGGAATGTGCTCCTACATGGGAGAAAGGAGGCATGTTTAAGAGCATGCCCGTTTATTGTAAAATGAAGCAGCAGTTTGTTTAGCATGCTGCTACAGATGGTCTTCACCACACTGAACAATGGAAGGAGTTGACAGTGGTTGCCTAATGGCCCTAACACACTTAGCAACTGAGTCCTCTGCTTGGTACAGGTGAGGGAAGAGGCTCAGGAGGGCAGAGTGACTTGTTTAAAACAAATCTGGTATGTGAAAGAGCTAAGGTTTGAATCCATTCTGGTTCCTGAGCCTTTGCTCCTTATGTAGCCTGGAAGAAGACTTAGCAGTTCGTGAATTCCTCAGCGTTTAATCTAGCCTCGTCTCAATGCACAGAGGGATCACTAGTGCTCCAGCACCTGGTAATCTACTACTTGAGATCAGCTGGGGAGGGCTTCTTCCTTGGTAGCTTAAGGACTTATGGGTACTCCTCAGAAAACGTGCTAAATTGGTGGCTGCTGGGAAATATGAACTAGTAGGGTCCTCTTGGAAGACAACTGGTGCTGTTCCCAGCATTAGCATGCAGTTCGCTAGTAAGAGTCAGTTTTAGGAAAGTTACAAATGTGGACAGAACATTATGCATAGAGATGGTCATCATGTAGATTTCATAATTATGAATATGGAAACTGTTTAAAGTGGGGCTCAGCAAATGCAGTAGTGGATTCACATCTGGGGCTCACCCAGTGCAGCAGTGATAATCTGTCATGTGAGGGAGTGCTGAAGGAACCTCACTAATTTTTTCAAGAGTCTGTAAAATTGAACATATGATATAATTGCAACCGTATTTGATCGACAGTCACAGGACATGAGCTCAGCTATAGTGTTTGTGATAGGTAGCCAGAGTTCAGTGGAATGCATGTATTGTCTAAGTTTTCTGCAGTGAGCATTTACAGGTATTGCTTTCTTAATCGATCAGGTGAGAACTTTTCAAGAAATATAATCGTCAGGGATTGAAAAAATCTTTAAGACAGATTCTTACTCTTGAGACCACTCATCAGTGCTAACACATATTGCCTTGATGTTGCTCCTGAAATTTATTCCTAGGAAATATTCCTGATGTAAATTGAATTTTACCCTTATAATAAAACAATCCCTCTCAAATTTCTGCTAACTTTGAAGACTCCAGCTTTTTCTTTGTAAATATGTAATAAAAACTATAATTAGTTTAGCTTGTATTTTTGAGGGAAAATTCTAGAATGGGAATATTGAATGGGACCATCCTTTATGGCAGGGTTCTCACAGGTGGTGCTGCTGTCCTTTGGACTGACCTTTCTTAGATGGTCTAGGACAGGAATGAGCCTGTAAAACTCAGCCTTCACCCTGGGACAGGCATGAATTCGAGTCCCAGCTCTACCATATATTAATAATAATGCTCTTCTACCCCTCTTAGGCACATCCTGTAACTGCTCTTGGGTTCAGTAGCTAGTGATGCTATTGTGAGATTAGAGGTAGTGCTTATCATAATTTGCCTGAATAGCACCTACAGTTAGTTACCATTCAAAACATGTAGCAATTTTATAAGATAATCATTAGATTCTAAAGGTGTAAACATATTGACTCTTTTTCATAAGTTGAAAACTTGTGCTGATAATTAGTTTATTAGTATATTTCACATTATCTCCCTAGATGTTGACTTATTTCGCTGCATTTGAGGTATTCTTTGAAGAAAATTTGCCGAAATTATTTGCTCATTTCAAGAAAAACAACTTAACTCCAGACATCTACCTAATAGATTGGTAAGACTGTTTTCTGTGGTTTTCCGTGTTTTCTCGTCCCCTGCCGGCTTTCCACTATCCTCATGGTGAGCTTCTTCCAGGGCTTATCTGAATTCCCATGTCCTGCTTCCTGGCTTCCTCTCTGCCCTGCCCAGGAGGTGCCAGCTATCCTCCAGAGCCTTGCTCTGCTAATCATGTCTCTGCACTGTGGGCTTCCTTTTACTACCTGGCCCTTCTAGATTCCTCCAGAGAAAGATGGTGTCTTGGACCTGTTTGTTTTCAAAGTGCTGTTTGTCCATCTATAAACAGATGAGATGTCTGTAGGTGGCAGGTATGTGCCAGGCCCTCTGCCAAGGGCCTGGGGTGGTGATGAGCAGGATGCAGTGCCCACTTGCAAGGAGCTGCTGCTGCTTTGGAGAGGCCTGGGTCATGGCATTATCCAGCAGTGGTGGGTGCTGTCTGCAGAGGGAGGCAGGAGATGCTGGACCTGGCCTAGGGGTTAGAGTCCACTGAGGAAAGGCATGGGGGGAGAGGAGCAATGTAGGGTCCCAGAGAAGCAGCAGTGGGGGGGTGGGGTTGGGCTTACATCAAGAGGCCAAGGATGGGCAGAGGGAATTTGGGAGCCAGGTTGGGGCAAGTCTCAGAGGCCATACTAAGGGATTGGGCAGGATTTGGAGGTCACAGGGGCACTTGAAGACCTGGGTTGGGGCACAAGTGAGTTTTGAGTGACTTGCGAAGCAGGAGTTCCTGGGGAAGAGAGACCAGCAAAGGGCAGTGGAAGTGGTAAGGAGCAGGGAGTTGGTGGGTTCCAGGAAAATGCTGGTCTCGATGTCAGACAATTGCTGGCCTCATGGTCCAAGCCTAAGCATCAGAGCTGAGATCAGAAATGGAGGCAGATCTGGGTTAGGACTCAGAAATTCTGAGGTATCTGTGGAATGTCTAAATAGAGGCCTCCTGAGACCCACAGTGAGAAGTTCAGAGAATTTGCTGGAGCCATACCCAAGGCACAGCTGTGTACAGAGGGAACGGGGTTGAGAAAAGGGTGTGGCCGTCACCCGAGAGTATGCCAGGTTGAGGGTCAGGTGAGAGGACCAGGCACCTGAGTGAAGGAAGGGAGTGTACCTCAGGATCCAGCAACCCCTGCAGTGACCCCAGGGTCTTTCATACTGTCTGTGGCCTTGTGATGGCCATGAAGCCCCTCCATGCCCTGTGCCCTGCTTGGCCCATGTGGAACCCACAGGATGAACCTTTCAGGGCATTTCAAGACAACACTCCCAAATTGGGAAGGGGCTCTGCAGAAGAGAAAAAGTGCCATAATGAAGAGAGGGTGTCTGGCTTGACCCCCACTTCTTCTGCTCCCTGTTGTGATTAGGCTTTTTATATTGAAACAGGGTCTGGCTAAGTGTCCCAGAACTTATAGTCCTTCTGCCTCAGTCTTCCAGGTAGCTGGGAGTGCAGGTATGTACTATCACACTCTGCTAGGAAGTACATTTTATATGGTGACCCTGTGTGCAGCCTTGTGTGCAAAAACTTAATGTGTATGTGCCAAGAACAAGAGTTCCATGAAGCGACCTAACCCTAATGTGGGGAGTGTTCTGAAGCTTTCTGTTCTCTTATTGATTACCAGCCCTCACTGACTTCACAGTCCACTGGTGGCTGGGTGGGTCATGCCCAGAGGACAGCTCTGCCTCTTCTGTCCCAGCCCATGGGTGGCTATAATTCTAGGTGTCCTCCTGAAAAGAAAGCTCCAAGGGTTTCCAGAGCTGAGGGTTTTATTCTGTGATGTGGTTGCTGCTCACTGACCTCCATGAGGCCCCTGCAGGGCTGGCTTATTTTTGATGAAATCGGCACCATCTGCGTTTGCAGTGCTAGTGCTGGGCACACAGGACGTCCTCAATAAAAACTGTTTAAGTTGAACTTGGCACAGGACACATACATTTCATGGGTTTTTTTTTTTTTTTTGTACTGGGGATTGAACCCAGGGGTACTTTACTACTAAGCCACATCCCAGTCCTTTTTATTTTTTAGTTGAGACAGAGCATTGCTAAGTTTCTGAGGCTGACCTCAAACTTATACTCCCCTTGCCTCAGTCCCCAAGCTGCTGGAAGTATAAGTGTGTGCCACCATGCCTGGCTCTTGGCTTCTTTAGTCAAGCTGTGTCTGTACCTGGAAGCTGTGTCTCCACCTTACAGAGGAGGTAGGTCTGAAGTGATCAAGGTTGTCTGTTGGGTGCTGACAGTTAGGTGAAAGCTCCATCAGAAGCAGATGAGCAGTGAGGAAGAAGCAAAGGTCAAGAACAGACCTTGCTCAGGCCTGGCCTTGAAGGTCCTGTTTGGGAATCGCACACTGAAGGTACCCTGTTTCTGAGCACAGAGGAGGTCCCTGTGTCTCCCCTGTGGAACGTGGTCCAGGTTGGTCTGACTCAGATCCTTGCTCCCCTTCCATCACGCTTCCTTCCTCTGAAGCTGTGTCTGCACCTGGAAGCCCTGGGCCTATCTTGGGTTGCATGTGCCATGTGGTTGGCACTGTGCATGTGCCTGTGGTGTGACCACCCCAGGGCTAGAGCAACCAACTGCTTAGGCGAAAGAGCCCTTTTCTTCTCTCCATGGCAAAGCCTGAGGGCACCGTGCAGTGTGGCCTCAAGTGTCCTGGGTTTGCTCTGCAGTGCTCAGATGAGAATGCTGCAATTCAGGTAGAAGTGCCCTTCTCTGCTGTCTGTCCCCAGAGCCTGCTTCCCTCCCTCCCACCACCAGCCATACTGAGCTGTTAGCCTTGTGGGTTACTTCTGTGTTTCCAGAGCCTGGACCCAGGTCAGCTCATGTCCTGGGCACAGGCACACCTGTTCTTCCTAGGCTTTCCTTTGGATAGGCCGGTGGGCCATGGCTGGAGGAGGTGGGTCACCAGGGGCATGTGCTGGAAGGGAGCATTCTCCCTGCTCCTCTTTTCTCTCTCTGCTTCCTGCTGCCATGAGCAGGGTGGTGCTTCTCCACTGTACACTTCTGCTGTGATGTTCTGCCTCTGCTTGGGCCCAGAGCAATGAATTTGGCCACAGGGCAGGGAACTTGGCCCACTGTGGACTGAAATTATGAAGCCATGAGTTTGAAGCCTGGCAGAAGCCCACTCAGCTGTTTGCACTCCTCCTCAAGGCTCGCAGGAAGGTGGTTTTGCTGATGAGAGCTCTTATCCAGGTGTGCCTTGCTTCTCTTTATCATGTGGATGTGGAGATCAGAGCCGGAGCTTGTCACCTGTCTTTGTCCTCCCATAGGGCTTTGAGTGGCCAGCTGTCAAGGGTCCACACTCTGGGAGGACTGGCGCAAGGTCATTTAACTTGCAAAATATCTCCCACTGCTGCCTAGTGGCATGATTTTTTGGAGGCATAAGTGGATTTTATGATAGTCTTAATTTAATCAAAGTATCAAGTGGTACATTCCACATTGTGCTTATTAGTGGCTTTGGCAATGGTATTTACCTAGAAAGCCTATCATTACATGGACTCCCACCTTACAGAGGAGGTGCAGGGCAAGCGGGCTCCCAGGAGATAGCTGTCGTTTCCTGCACGGTGTTCATGGGTGGCTCTCGGCTTCTGGGCCATAGGTCTGCCCAGGACTCGGGACTCCTCAAGTGCAAGCAGTGCTTTGCGATCAGCCTTCTCCAGAGGTATTGAGCCTCCGGCATGCAGGAGGTGTTAACTGAAGCCCATTGGCTAAGCTTCATATTCTGCTTGGTGCTGGGGCAGAGAGGAGAGCGCATGGGCTTGGGGTGATATGGAATACACTGCCCTCAGGACCAGGCAGGGCATCTCAGGTTTGGTGTCTGCACCTCTGCCTTTGCTTAGTGCTGAGTCTATGCCAATAGTGGCTCTTGAGTAAGTTTCAGAGTCTGCTTCTTACCTAGCACACTTGTTCCTGGTCTCTGAGTTTCTTAGGAACACAGGGATGCCCAGGTGCCGTGAGGTGAAGGATGAAGCCAGGGTACAGCTGGATACTGGGGTGTCAGGGCCTGAGGGTCCCAATCTCAGTGTGACTTCATGATGACTGAGGCTGCTAGGTGACTTTTACCCTTTTATTTTATGCTAAAACCTGCTTTTCCACCACCTTCCTTTCTTGGTAGTTTCCTCCTCTGCCACGTAGGGTGAGACTGCGCCTCCTCGAAGGGCTTTAGGGAGGAGGTGTGGGGTGGCACCCAGCAGAGCAGCAAGCAGTCACTTGCCCTGTGTGGCCTGGGCAGCTTGAGGCAGACCAGGGTCCCTCTATTGCAAGAACACTGACTGCCTTCTGTACTGCTGGCTCCTGAGGCTTTGCCCCACAGCTGCTTACAGTGGCCCTGCACTCTCTCTGTGCCTCCCTAGTGCCCCATTTCCCTTCTGCTCAGGTAGGCAGCTGGAAGAGATGTGGCTGGAGAGGAGAGTCTACCTTTATCCACACATGTGGGGAGGTGGGTGCACATGGCTTGGTTTTGCTGTCTTTTTTTTTTTTATATATAATTTTTTTTTTAAAGAGAGAGTGAGAGAGGAGAGAGAGAGAGAGAGAGAATTTTTAATATTTATTTATTTTTAGTTCTCGGCAGGACACAACATCTTTGTTGGTATGTGGTGCTGAGGATCGAACTCGGGCCGCACGCATGCCAGGCGAGCGCGCTACCGCTTGAGCCACATCCCCAGCCCTGCTGTCTTTTTAATAAGCCCATAGCCACTCTGTTGGCATAGCAACACAAAAATCCATTGTTGTGCATTACTTGGACCTAAACGTGCTGTATTTGATACACAGCGTAGTAATATGCAGTACTCCGGGTTGGGGTAGGGAACAAACATTTCTTGGGAGACAGAAACCCACGGATTCTCTCTTCTCACTATGGGGAGAGCAGGAAGGGGGCCTGGCAGACTGCCAGGGATTCCTGCTCATCCCTGTTCCCACACAGTCCTTAGCTGAGGGGAGGCTGAGGCCAGTTGGTGGGGAAGGGGTTCTTGGGCCAGTGTGTGGACAGCAGCTCTTCAGTTCATTGGGTCAGCTTCCCTGGCTGGGTTTCTATGGGAGCTGGACTGAACCTGGTATCTCCTTCCCAGGCAGTGGCCCGAGCCCTTTACCTGAGACTTCCAGGTGAGGGTGCTGTGTAGCTGCTTTCTGAGAGGGTGCTTCAGTGTCCTATGTGCACCTGGCTCCTGTGTTTAAATGTGGTTTAAAATACAGCTGAAAATTACTGGTTCGAGGCACAGGCTTTGTAATCTGCCAGGGTCGGGTCTGATCTGTTCAGCTGTCTCTTTGCTGTGTGGGCAGCAGGTGGCTCATTGGCACTGCAGCTCCCTCAGCATAACTCTTCACTTGTTGGACTGTCTGAAGACAAATGTAATTAATGAAAAAGATTAGCACAGGGCTTTTTGCGTTGGGGTGGTCATTATTGAGGAATGAACCTATGGCTGCTTTATCACTGAGCCACATCCCCCCAGCCCTTTTTGAGACTGGGCATCACGAAGTTGCTGAGGCTGGCCTTGAAATTGTGATCCTCCTGGCACAACCTCCTCAATCACTGGGTTTACACGCATGGTGGACTCTGGCTGAGCCCCAGCCCCGTTCTATAGGTAGGGACTAACTCAGGGCATTCTTCATGGTTCAGGCTAGAATTGAGAGTTCTTTCTTTGTATCATTCCAAACTTGATGCTCTCTCACTTTCCCTAGGATCTTCACCTTGTACAGTAAGTCTCTGCCCCTGGACTTGGCCTGCCGCATCTGGGACGTGTTCTGTCGGGATGGGGAGGAGTTCCTCTTCCGAACGGCCCTGGGCATCCTGAAGCTGTTTGAGGACATCCTGACTAGGATGGACTTCATCCACAGTGCCCAGTTCCTGACCAGGCTGCCTGAGGACCTGCCAGCAGATGAGGTGTTCGCGGCCATTGCTACAGTCCAGATGCAAAGTCGGAACAAGAAGTGGGCACAGGTAAACAGTCTCCTCCTTCTCCTTCTGGTTATGGGGCTGGCACTACAGTATAACCTAGGAAGCATGCTGCCCACAGTGCTGAGAAACAGTTCTTGGGCTGCTGGCGAGGAGAGCTGGGCGGCCTCCTGGCTCTGCCTCAGGTTGCTCTATGGGTTCCTGCCTATTAGAGATCGTGGCGTGCCCCCTCCCCTGCATCAGTACTGGGAGCGCAGAGCTTCTAGGAGGCCATGCAGTTCTCTTCACGTGCCCCAAAGCATTTTGTAAATTAAGCCCTAGACGCTAGACAGAGCAAAAGGGACTGGCTAGCTGGGCTGCCTGGGAGCGGTGTGCCCTGTGCAGCATGATCCACCTTGCAGATCACAGAAGGAGAAGTCACGGTTGCCTGAAGAGGCCCCGTCCCTTCCAGATATTCCTTCCATTGTGCTGCTCTGGCCTGTGGTTTCTTCTGCATTCCTCCAGGCTCCCATGTAGGGCTTACCCCAATGGGATTGATGGGTGTTGTCTCACTCCAAGTTTTAGCTTACTTAAAAGGAAAAAAGGAAGGAAAAAAAAAAAAAAAAAAACCTGACTGACTATATTTCTTGAGGTTACCTGAGTACCAGGTCCAGCTGGTGGGTCTGGAGGCTTACCCTTCCCCATTCGGGCCAGCTGTGCCTGTTATGGACCTGACTTTCTTATTAGTATATGACTTAAAATATTTACAAAACTAGGACAAGGAACCCCACATGCCAGTCATCAGCCTCGTATCTGTGAAGGGGGACTGTTTCAGTGCCCTTCCCCATGACCCCCAGTGTTCTGCATGCAATATGTCCACTGTCATGTTTTGTCTCCAAACCATGCTGGCTCTTGGAACATAAATGGTCACAGCACTGCTATCACCCAGAAAGTCCCTGATGCCTTCCTGTCTTCATACACTAGGTATTGTGCTGAGAATCAAAGTTCTGACTGGGCCAGACAGCATAAATGGATCCATGGTCTCACTGATGAAGATCCAAATAGGGTCCTTGCCCTGATTGGCCCATAGATCTTTGTCTTATACCATCTTTATGCAGCTCCACCTTCTTCTCTTCTGTCCCTTCCCACCCCTCATTTGTGAGGAAGGCAAGCCCTTTGACCTATAGCAAGTCCAGAGCCTGTACTTGGTCACTCTAGGACAGTTATGGTTGAGAGGTACAGAGGTTTCTTCTTGAGGTACAAAAGTGTTCTAAAATTAACTGGTGATATGTGCCCATTTCTGTGAATATCCCCCAAAGCATCAAATTGCACACTTTGAAGGGTGAATTGCATTTCAGTAAAGCCGTGTAAAGGTCTGCCTAGCTGGTGGGGAGGCCTGGGCCTGGCTGGGCTGCGCCAGGTGTCAGGGCAGGAGCGACTTCTCTCTGGCTAATGAACTGATGGACAATATAAGGGCTGTGACTAGAACATTTCCAAGAATTTTAAGCCATGACTGCAGAGCAGTAGACCATACCGGGCTGCCTGAACTCTGGGCATGCGACTGCACAGGCTGAATGCCCCTGAAGCTGACCCTGTGTGTGAGGAGGTCTTCTGGAACCTTCTGTGATTTTTTGCTTCCATAGTTTTCTAAAGCTTCAACAGAAAAGTCGGGCCTTTGTGTTTTGGTGCCAGGGATTGAACCTGGGGGCACTTGACCACCGAGCTACATCTGCAGTCCTCTTTATTTTTTATTTTGTAACAGAGGCTTGCTAAGTTGCTTAGGGTCCCATTGAGTTGCTGAGGCTGGCTCTGAACTTGCAATTCTCCTGCCTTAGCCTCCTGAGTTACTTGGATTGTGGGGTGTGTGCCACTGCACCCAGCTAAGACCTTTCTTAATGGCCTTTGTTCACAGGCAGGGCTGTCCCTACCCTGATTTCACATCTTGTGCATTCAGGGCTTACAGATCTTTCCTGAAGCTTCCTTCCCTGGTACTTCTGTGAAAGAAGCTCTCCTGCCCTGCCAGTGGGCACACAGGCACATGCACACGGGCCCACTGCTTGAATAATCCCCAGCATAGTTTCAACCAATAAAAGAGAGGAGGCAAAATGGCAGAATCTGGGTGGAACCCTTCCATGTGTGCTGTCACTGACGTTATTGGGTAGTCACAGTGCCCTGGAATGAGTTTTAAAGTAAAGGTGCAGTGCATTGAGGGCAGTGGAGGGAGCAGCATCAGGGCCAGGCTCTGGGGCGGCCTCTGAAGGGAGGCTGTGAATGGGCTTTGGTTTCTTGGTAATGAAGGAAGAAGCTGGCAGGAGCAGCATTGTCCTGTGGGGCTGAGGGAAGAGACTATCCCCATGACCCTGCTGTGACATTGGTGTTATGGCTGGTCAGCATGAGTGTAGGAAATGGCCCACGTAGGAAAGAGGACCCAGAGGGTGGGAAAGTGCCTAGTGGGCCAGAGGGTGGGAAAGTGCGGAGTGGGCGGAGTTGGAGGTGCTGCCCTGTGGGTGGCTGCCATCACACTGGCTGCCTTGCTCTGCTAAGCTCTGTGCACTGCTACCTGCTTGGCTCCGCTCTGCTCCTGCTCAGCTCTTGCTCAGCTCTGCTCAGCTCCTCCGCGCTGTGCTGCGCTGCGCTGCTCTGCTCTGCTCTGCTCTGCTCTGCTCTGCTCTGCTCTGCTCTGCTCTGCACTGCTCCGCACTGCTCCGCTCTGTGCTGCTCCGCTCTGCGCTGCTCCCATGGGTGTCTTGGGGACAGTGCCTCTCGAGGATTAACCACAGCAGTCTTCTCTGTGCTCTAGGTGCTGGCTGCGCTGCAAAAAGACAGCCGGGAAATGGAGAAAGGAAGCCCATCCCTCAGACACTGAGGCTGCAGATGTGACCCCCACTGGCACTGAGGCAGGTCTCAGGCGGCACCTGTGTGCTCTCAGACCCACCCCGGCAGTGGCAGCAGAGGAGCAGGCACGCTCTGTTCATGTTGATTCCTGACGCTGGAGTTGGCCTTAAACAAACAGCAAAATCCAGGCTTAGCCTTAAGCAGCTCAGGGGCTGGTGCCCTGGGGGCTGCAGCCAGCCACTGCGCTTTCTGCACAGGTTAAAGTCAGGGCAGTGGTTGATCCCTCCTCCTTCTTTGTTTCAGCAAAAGTCAATTAAATTGTAATGCTATTATGCCAGCCACTGGAAAGTACATTACAATTTTTTTAGCCAAATGCATGAGAAATATTATTTTGGGAAATCTCAGAGATGATACTGGCTCATATTTTAGATGAGAGGAATCGCTGATTTAGTTATTGAGATGATCTTTCCAGAACTGGAGGCCATGAGTTTGAAACCTGCCTACCAAGTCAACATAACAGGAGATGGGCACATGGGGAGTGTTGCTCTTAGGCTCCCTGGGAGTCCACATGACCTTCATATTAACACTTACCATGTTGCCTTGACAAAATCACAGCAGGAAGGTTGACAGTGTACGTTAGGTTTCCGTGGGAACCTGCCTCCCAGAGTCCTTGGAGCTGTGGTGAGGAGCCGGAGCAGGGGACTGTGTGCAGAAAGGGCCTGTGGCGGCAGAACACCCCCAGGAGCTGATGTGAACAGCCTCCTTTAAAGAACAGGGTGGGAGAAACTTGGGATTGCCCCTTGCACCTGCTTGTTTCCAGGGAGGCTGAGGATGGCTGTGTGGTGCTGGAAACCAAAGCATGTGAGGGGTTTGCTCCTGGGCTCTGCAGAATCCCCACTTCACTTTTGTCATGAATAGCTGGACTCTCCTAAGTGCCAGGGACCCCCTGACACACCTGGCTTTCCAAGGTGTTTCACAAACCACCATGAGGACAGAGGAGCGAGCAACATGTACTTAACCAGTCTTGTCAGAATTCTCATTGTCTGGACCATGATCCCTTTCCCATTTTAGCTGATTTTCCCAAGTTTATTGTCAAATTTTTTATTCTTGCTTTTCCTTGACTATTTTGAGAACTTTGTATAAGAAATTTGATTTCCCAAATTCACAGAAATGAGCAGTTTTTGCATGGACTAGTCCAACGAGAGATGGAAACAAGTTCCCACCTGGTAACCCATTATTAGCATATTGGCCTTTGGGGATGCCGACAGGCCAGGCTCAAGAACACAGCCAGAGTCTGGAAGTGCTGGTGTGGTCTGCACTCACCTTTCTTAGCCATTTCTCCCACCCCAGGGAACAGCTTCTCGTTGAGGGAGGCCCTGGTGCTGTACCACATGCAGCAAGGAGGCTTGGGCTGGGGGTGCAACCAGCTTGGGGGTGGCCTGTCCTGATGAACTTTCTGCATCTGCTCTGCCTGCTGGCCATATTTCAGGTGCCGCAGCAGGTTAGCAGGCCAGGGTCATGTGCACACCCTGTGTCCTACTCCATGTGTCCCTCTTCTTGGAACCTCCCCTCCCCTTGCATTCTCCTGTGAATTCTCGAGGGAGGTTCTAGAGCATGATGGGTCCCACAACACCTCAGCCTTGGAAGGCCGCCTTGCCTGACCTCGTGGACGAGGTGCCATCTTCACCTGTGGTCCCGGTGGCCTCCAGACCCAGCCATTCCTAACATGGAGGTGTTGAATGTAGTTAGGCCAGTGGCCTGTGCACTGTCTTCCTTGCAGATGTGCACAGTTGCGTGCGTGATGAGGGTGTTCTGTTCTTTGAAGATGTATATATTTTCTTACTGTACATAACAATGCTCCTTAGATCGTAGAGAGGTGAGGAGCAGGCTCCTGTCCCACCCTCGCCATTGCTTGTCAAATGGCCCGACATCAATCTGCAGTGTGCATGAAGGTTCAGACCAGGCTCCCTGCCAGTCTGGGACGTTTGCCACATCTTCAGTCCAGACGAGGTTTTGGGGGCCTTTTAAGGGATCATATGAGTTCCATGTGTCCCCTAAGAGGTTGTAGAGTTCTAAGTCCTGTCAAGGGTCCTGTGGTCCCTCTGGGCAGTGTGCTGTTAGCAAGCACAGCATCCTGCTTCTCTGAGGCTGCTGCTTAGGTGACCTGGCAACACTGCTGTGCTGCTCTCTTGGAAGTTTGCACTGTCCACCTCAAGGGCCAGGGACTTTCTGTACCCCAGGGCTTGGGGTCAGCAGCAGCTTGCCCTTTAGACCCAAGAGCCACCTCCAGAGTCATTGAGATCTCATTTGGGAACAATGTTCACTTCAGAGGTACTTTGTAACTGCTCGGCTTCTGAGTTTTAAAGAGCTGCTGATAGGAACTCCTGATAACATTGCTGCAGATCATGTTTTAATGGCTCGAACAGTTAACCTCTGACTTTATTTAGTAAAGTGTATCAAACTAGGACTTTTTGAATTGTAAATATGTGGTTTTATTAAATAAAAGTCATGTAAAATTGTTACTTATATGCTCTGTAGTTTGGTTTAAAATTGAGGTTCTTCCTTGAAGCATGACAGAAATTTGAGCATCTGCTGCTTTGAAATCCACATCTAGGCTTGTTCATCAAAAAGAGGATGCAGCCAAGGGTCCCTCTCTGCTGTGCTGGAGGGGCCCCCCTGTGCTGCTGCCTCTCTTCAAGCCATCCTGTTGTGACCTTCACCGCCCCTGAGCATGTCACCACTCACCCCAGAGTGCAGCAGACACTCACTGTGTGCCAGCCCCTGGGCTAAGGGCTCCTTGCAATTCCTCAGAAGCTTGTGAGTCAGGTGCTGTGACCCAGTAGTGTGGTGGCAAGGCCTTCACTGTGGGGCAGGGTCAGTAAAGCTGTTCTTGAGATGGTGGAGGGGGCTGGAGGGCCAGGAGGTACTTAGACCCCAGCGGAATGAGTGCACCCACAGGCACGAGGCTGGGAGGAGGAGGCACACTCAGAAGGGTGCTCAGACACAGAGCCACCTTCCATTGAGCCAGTGGCTTCTCTCTGTGCCCCTGTCCCTGCAGGCTTTGAGGCAGGCTGGGTAGCTGCAGGGTAGTGGACAACAGCCACTTTTGCTGAGAGCTGTCTGGCTGCTGTGGCCACACCGGGCACTGGGCCAAGCACTGTGGAAATTAAATTTAATTTCGTTTAATTTCCACAGCAGCTTTGTGGAAGATCATTGTCCCCTTCCACACATGTGACACAGAGAAATGGTTTTTCTCAGGCTGCTATAGCTGGGAGGTGGCTGAGCAGGTCTCAGACACCCTCTGGAGAGATCTCGTTTGCTCTGGGACCTTCGGGAGCCTGGCTCCTTAAGTCCTGGTGGGGACACTAGCATCATCTGTGCATGGCCTGCAGGGCAGCTGGAGGCTGATGGAGGGAGCTGTGGATTATGAATGCTAAAACACGATGGGCAGACACTTGTTCCTGGGCACTGTACACCTGGGGAGTGGGGCTGACAGTTCAGACACCATTCCAGAAGTGTGGAGCCTGCCACCAAGGCACAGAAGGGCCAACACACAGGCATGGCACCCACACAGTGTGGGGGCAGGTACACCCCCCCTATACTTTGGGAGGAGCTGCTGGTCTCCTGGTGGGAAGGGAGGGGGCTGGCCAGCAGAGAGATACCTCAGAGACAAGACCAGTCCCCTCAGACGGGACCATGTTAAGATGTGGAGGGACTTCGGTTTTCAGGGAAATCGTGAGACCCACATTGTATGGTGCCAAATATGTGCTCAGACATTTGCTGATGATATTCAGGCTCTTGCCTGGAACTTGGCTGAGAAGTGTCCAGATATCTCTGAGAGGCTCAGGGCGCCATCTAGTGCCTGTCCTGCTCCAAGGCTTCTCTGAGCACTGCTCCCTGCAGCCAGCCTGCTCTGGGATGGCTGATTCCCTTCCTGGGCAGGTTCACACCAAGGCCAGGTCTCCCTGGATCAGCTGAAGCCCCTTTCCCAGGGTGCACACACCTTGTGGGACATTCTGTGCAGAGTGAGGAGAACTGTCCTCTGCTCTGACATTACAACAAAATGAGCTACCCGTGGACTTGGAAGCCTGGCTCTGGACCCCAGAGCCTCAGTTCATCTTAAGCGGTGTTCCTTCATCTTTTTCCCTTGCTGTGTGGCTCCTGGTAGAAAGGCTCCAGCTAAAAATAAAGCTGAACTTGAGGTGCAGTTTGGGTAGATGTTAAGAACGGACCTGGGGTTGAATCTTATACCCACCTATTGCCATTAGGAGCTCTGTGACCTAGTCCTCATTTTCTTTTTCCACAACTGAAGGTTTGGAAGAGGACCCAGCTCCTACCCACTGGCTTGTGAAGATGAAACAAAAACAAGAGGCTGATCTAACTCTACCATAAAAACCCCAGAAACATCGGGTGGGTTGCTAGACTCATTCCCTTAACAGTATTTAGTATCTTACGCTCTTGAACTTATGAATTTTTAAAAAACTGAAATTATCTCCCAATTTAAATCCATGTTAATTGTGTAGAATTTGGGAATACAGGAAAGAAAATTAAAATTCCTCTAATTTTATCATCGGATAAGGGATACTGTTTTCCTATTCTGCTTTTTTCTATAAATGCATTTCCCCATTTTACAGATGAGTTCATTGTCCCAGGTTGGCCTGATGCCAGAGTCTTCACCCCAGGCTAGATCTTTCTAGATAGGCTTGTGCTTGCTTACCCATGGCAGCCTTTGGGGCGTGTGATCTTACTTTTTTTTTTTTTTTAAGTGAAAGGCATAGAATAAAGAGAAAGGTTATTATTTTTTTTTTTAAAGAGCGAGAATTTTTTAAAAATATTTTTTAGTTTTCGGCAGACACAACATCTTTGTTGATATGTGGTGCTGAGGATCGAACCCAGGCTGCACGCATGCCAGGAGAGCACGCTACTGCTTGAGCCACGCCACATCCCAGCCCATGATCTTTCTTGTTAAAACCAATATGTAAGTAGAAACTAGAGGACCTTTGAGAAGTAGTAGAGAAAGTGCTGCACAGTTCCCAAGAGCCCTGTGGTCCCTTCCATTCTTGCATTTGTGGGACTCATCACAGCGGTGCTAGCTGGAAGCTTAAAAGTGAAAAGCACCAAGTCAAGGTACCAGAGCTGCCGTTGTCTTATGGGCAGGCTCCCACACCAGGGCCAAGACAGAACTAGGGCTACAGACAATCTTGTACGGTTACATAATGTAAAAATCTCAAGTGCAGGAAGTCACCATAAATGACTTCCACTTAGCAAAGGTAAATGTTTCCTTCTCACGGGCCCTGGCCTCTGCTTAGGTGGGCACCTGATTTACAAAACTGTCCTATAAAATTGAAGGGGACACTTGGGGATTTATACCTATTAAAAAGGTTTAGTTTCATGTAGCATCTTGCTCACAATGTATTTTTCAGGCCCTGCATTCTGGTAAGAAGGCCTTTGCTTGTGGTGCTGTGGATCGAACCCCAGGCTTCACACCTGCTTGGCAAATAATCTGCCGCTGAGCCCCAGCCCCAGCCCAAGCCTTTGCTTTTAACACTCATAAAGATAACCTCCGTGTGACAGTCCTGTCCTATGGATCATCTGCATTGGGACTGTCCACAGTCTACCTGCAGTGTTTCTTGCTTTGAGTACAAAACTGCTCCTGCCATATTCCCTCCTTGGTTTTACTTTTGAGAGGATGGTCTTTCTTCCTGTAATTTATTTCTGAATCCAACACTGGGCTTAGCAGTTTCTGAGACATAACATTCAAATAAGGCTTATTTTCAGAATGTGAAAGAGATGGGTTAATACATTAGCATAATGCCAAACAACCTGCTGGCCTCCAGGGACCTAGATCTCAGTGGGGGGTAGAAGCCTAAAGAGGCACTCTCTGAGCAGGGACTGCATGCTGGATGGGCCACAGACAGCGCTGTGGACTTCTTCCTTCAGAAGTTACCCTAGGAAACAGTCTGTGGGGTGTTGCTCTTTCCTGGTGAAGCCTGGCCCTGTAATCTGATTGGAACCACAGGAGGTGGGGCCACAGGAGGGGGTGTATCTGTCCAGCACAGGGACTGTAACCTGAGGACATTGGTGACTTACTTTGCAGTCCTTACTTGGTCATTTGCAGCTTAAAGCTTTCTGCAGCTGGTCTGGGATCCACTTGTCACGGGGTTCCAAGCTGCAGGATTCGGCTGGGCAATGCTGTTGGTTCAAAGTCAGCTGAGAATACAGCTCTCTCTACAGTACACCAGAGAGACAAAGGACAGCATTATCATGAAAGCCACTGCTTGGTCAAGACGTGCAGCACTGTTGACCCTTCACCAGGAGGCTTCCCCAGCAGCAGAAGAACCCAGTAGGCCTGCACTGCTTCTAGCTGGAGCCACGAAGAAGAGAGTTCTGTTGGCAGGGACTTACTGCTCCACTTGGCCTTGATGGACAAGGGGAGAAGGATGACCCATCACAGTAAGGGGAGGACGGCAGTGGAAATCTAAGCTTTTTACTGCCTGCCTCAGTACATGTGGGCGACATCAGAGAAAATAGTGTACTCAAGCCATGGAAGTTAGGAGTTTTAATTTTCCTCTACCTCACAGGAAATATGCTTTAGAAAATGAAATCATGTCATCAAAAGACAAAGCAGTGGCAACATTCTCAGCCACTGAGCCACCTGCCCTGAGTGGGGTTTCTACCAGTCTTCAGAGGCACCCAGCACCAAAGACGGATTGTCTTCCTATGACCTATGAAGTTTAGGAATGAGCGAGCACCCTGTTGCCATCAGAGAGCACTTGGCTGGGTGCGGAAGGCTGTCTTATGTGATAGCAGCAGCCACCATTCACAGTCTTGCACCTGGTAAAACCAATGGTCACTGTTTTGTTTCCCCTGGGAAAAAACATGCCACTTTTTTTTTTTTTTAAACAGATCAATGCAGTTTTTTCAGAGGATCCAAGAAAATGTTTGATTCTAATGGAAAACCATCATCAAGACAGAAACATAAATGGTGAGAAGACTGAGCTTCCTTCCACTGAAAAAGTAAAGACAATCAAACATTGGCTTCCTTTCCTGTTGGTCCTCCTTCCTGTTTCCTGGAGAGAGAGGGATGGATGGATGGACAGATAGATAGATGGATGGATATTTACACGCCAGAAGCTAGTACTGGCTACTGACAAAGCGCGATCAAGGAGACTTTGTGAGTTTCTAATTGAGACAGTAATTCAGGACTACACAGCTTAATAAATCCAAAGAGAATTTAATAATTTGCTTAAGCACAGACTTTTCGGTACTCTGCCCACTTGTTGAACTTCACCTACTTACACATAGAAGAGGAACAGTGCTCTTTAGTACTAAGTTACTGAAATTATGGAATTGCTCAACTCTAGTTTTTCCTGAGAAGTCACGTTACATTAAATCACTCCATTTTTGTTTCTCTGGGTCTATTGCTTCATCCCATGTAAAATTGCTAACCCAATTTTGTGGTCAGCACTAGTTTTGAAGCTGAAAAATGAGAAAAACATCATGGTTCCTAAACCAGAGATCATAGGCCTCTTAAGGATAGCAACAAGGGAAAGTAAAAGTGGATGAGACAATGTTCTGCTGCTCTATTCGTCCACCATATCAGGGGGGGAGGAAGGCTTTGGCTTCCCTGATCTTCTGTCTCATACCTTTGCAGGATAAAGTAAGCCCAGCATGATGGCGCTTAAGGGATTCTAGGCGCTGGTTGAGTAGTTCAGTCTTGTCCATCTTTTCTTCCAAGTCCCGAAGCAATGATTCCTTGCCCAGAAGGCCGCACTTCTGGTTCAGCTTGATGTTGTCACCCCTCAGGCTGTCTCGGGCTTGCTTGGTCTTGGTCAGGATGTCCCTTCCTAGAGCCACCTGAGCCTCAATTTCCAAAAGCTGTGCCTTTCTGCATGCATTCTCCATATCCATGAAGTGCAGCTTTTCCTTCACATGGGTTATTATCTGCACATTGTTGGTCACCTTGTTGCGCAGTTTTAAAAGTTCCTCATTTCGTTCCTCCACTTTCTCGTTGAAGGTCTGGTTCTCAATCTTAAGCTGTTCAAAATCAATGAGGAGCAGACCTTCAGTCAAGTCCTCCTGGGCCTTCATTCTGGTTTCAAAATGCGACAGGCTTTGCTTCAGCTGCACGTTCTCCAGCCGCACGGCACTCATCTCCTTCTCCTTTTTATCCTCCAAGGCCTGGATCTGCTCCACCTCCCGCAGTGCAGCCTGGCGCCCACCCCGCATGCGGCAGCTGCCCATGGCCTGCATCACCACCTGCTTCTTGAGTGCCTGGAATCGGTGCCACTCCTTCTCTACCCTGGCCACCTTCTCCTGGCACTGCTGCTTCAGCTGGGCCAGCTCCTGGTGATACCATTCCAGGTCATCAGCCTCTTGCTTCTTCATGTCCTCCAGCATGGCCAGGTAGTGCAAATATGCCTGTTCTTTCTCGGGGGCCTCAGGCTCTGGGCCCTTATCTAGCGCCTCCACGGCTTCCACGCCCTTCTTCTTGCGCAGCACCTCACAGATCTTGTGCTGCAGGTACACATTGTAGCGCTGATAGCGGTTCCGCTCTACCACCAGGGTGTTGTACTGCTCCAAGAGCTCATTGCGAAGCTGCTGCTCCTCCAGTTTCTGCACCTCCTCCGACCACTCTTGGTCGTGGTAGTCTACTGAGCCCAGTAGGGAAGATTTCTGCCTTTCCTTGCTTTTCTCCTTTCTTTCAGCACTCTCTACCTTACTCTTCTCCTCCTCCTCCTCCTCCTCCTCCTCTTCTTCCTCCTCTTCTTCTTCCTCCTCTTGCTTAGGTTCCTCTCTTTCAGTCGCTGGGGCTGGAGCAGCATCCTCGCGGGTAGTGGATAACTGCACAGAGTCCCTAGACAGGGCTTTCTTCTTAGTCGTCGTCGTCTTCTTTGCTGCCGCTCTCTCCTCCTCTTTGTTGTCGTCCTCCTCCTCCTCCTCCTCCTCCTCCTCCTCCTCCTCCT